GTGATACTTATATCTTTACGTCTCATGACAACAGTTAATAAATTCCAAAACATTATTCAATAACCCTAACAATAATGGTCCTTAGTCCTTATATTTTGTGAACAACTGTAAAATAGCAACTTCTTTCTGAGCTCAATGCTTAAAAATGAAGTCAAGCTTATAAATGCTATAAATCGTACAGAATACCATTTTTCATCAGACCCTCTATGCCATACATAATTCACGCTTGTGCGATCATGTTTCTTTCCATTCATAGATAGACAGTCTATTTTCCGGTAGTAGTTTGCCGTTTCTTTCTGCGGCAGATTTGTTGCCTACCAAGACTATAGGTCCAAGTCCTTGCTGTTATTCAACCCATAGCTTGTGGAGGGAGCAGATGTACTCATACCTTTCCCAAGGGTATGTGCGTGTAGATGAATGTAACGAACCCGAAAACAGCATTAAAAAAATTACGAAAAGACAATTTGAAGAGCAAAAAGATACAGTTGTCTTACATGGACAAAGAAAATACAATAAGATGCTAATGTTCCGTACGACCAAGAAGAAGAAGAAGAAGAAGAAGAAGAAGAAGAACAATAAGAAGAAGAAGAAAAAGAATCTGTCACTGGATTTTATCAGGAAACACCAAACACCCTTTCCTGATGGTTGCTATTGCATAGACAATGGAGAAAGTAAAAACAAAAATCACTAATTTAATTGATCGGCAAATGGTAAGAGAATGTGAGGGAAATTTTATTATATTTACAGAAGCGTTGAAATTGCTATCGACAATCATATTCCCTTGATGGCAGTTGTGTAAGATTTAAAACTTTTCACTCGACTCCCACGGTCACATTATATAACATTTTATATTCGGTGTAAATATTAAGAGAAACGTAAATACACAAACAGTTGTAAAGTAGCTCTTGTTGAGTCACATATAAATATTCCGAAGAGATTACAACAGATAGAAGTCTTTTAAAAATGTCTATTTATGACTTTGCTTCCTTTCAAAATGTGGTTGCTTTGTGGATAATAAAGATAAGCAAGCAAATAATTTGTAAAATGCAGCTTTCGATCTAATTAGAATTCGTACATTTGTAATATAAACGAAATAAGCTTCTAAAAGATAGCAGAAATAAATAATACATGTTAGGCAATGAAATATAGTGTGAGTTTAACAGTTTTATGGTCAACATAGAGTAAAAGATAAACAAATTAAAGCCAAGTAGAATATATTCAGGAAAATTACATAAACTTACCTATATATTCATCTCTCAGAATATATATATATATATATATATATATATATATATATATATATATATATATATATATATATATATATTCAGGATCTCGCAAGAACTCTCACACATCGCACGAAATGATTCGACGAAATTGGTAAAAATAATATTTTCAACAAGTCTTTCGTTAAAGATAAAATCATTTTGCATCTTAGATTGCAAACACACATGTCGTCCTAGGTATAACGATAAACTACATCCCCGTCGTGGGTTAGACGATAAACTACATCCAACAGCGAGGCCGCTGATGAGGAGGTTTTGAGTAGCGTGGAACCCCCTCTTATTCGCTAGGGTAGTCATGTTAACCCTGACTCAGGAGGGTAGCACCTGCTATGGTCCCAGCTATGGGTAAATAGTTTACCAGTAAAACATTATTGAAAATAAAATATTACCAGCAATATATATTTGAAGGAAAATTACCAAAAATATATTTTTGAAGAGAAAATTATTACCATAAAAAAAAAAAAATACAGAAATAGATATTTGAGAAAAAAATACCAACAAGAAAAAGGTTGATATACAGTAAAACATTACAAAGAAAACAAACACAGGCACACACACACACAAACGCGCACCCACACACTTTAGAAAACACACACACACACACACATACATATATATATATATATATATATATATATATATATATATATATATATATATATATATATATGAAATTAGGAGCCCAACCCGTGCTATTTTGGTTTGAAACTTTTGGTATCATTATATATATAAACGGACAACGTGAAGTGTAATATAAGCAGAGGAGAAATGCAAGAATTTTTAAATTGTACTGAAAAGGGGGAGTAAATAAAATGTACTTAATATTATCCTAGGTCGTATGAACTCAAAAAGTACTTTTTAGTATGTACGCATCGTACCAATATCTCCTAACTTTCATTCAGTAGATTTCTTTGGTCTAGAAATGTTATCATTGTCATCTTTTCCTACTGACACAGTTTGCAGCTATGACTGCTGTAAAATAATTTTCGAAGATCTCCTATTTTTTTTTTAAATGAAAAAGTTTTGCATGTTATTTTTTTTTATTTTCTTTATACATTTATTGAACACTTTTTATTACAGCAGTTTTCGGGTCTAATACAACTCTGACCAACAGCTAAAGAAATATAGTTGCAAGGTATGCTATATTATGGGTAAAACTGCCCAATATCAGAGATTGCACGTATGTAATAACAAATATAAAATAGTTCCAAACAAACCGCATTCGGTTTCAAAACAACTTCTACTCAAGAGCCTATAGCGTCAGCCGATTCTGCTACTTTATTTTCACCGTTTCAGTATTTTCAGCCTCTTCGGTCAATTGAGTTCCTAATTTTTTAATTTAAAAAAAATTAATGAACTGTTTATTATTTAGAAATAAATAAATAAATAAACGCGCCACATGAAGTGTGATATAAAGGGAGAAGGTGGAGAAAAACAAGTGCATTGGAAATGTATTGGTGGATGGGGGTGAATGAAATTAAGTTAAATTACCAATGTACATACTGTTTTTAAGACTGGTTCATACAAACAGAAAAGGTAGTTTTTAGTGTGTATGCAACGGGTGGGGGGTTATAATTTCTGTTTGGAAATCTTAGTTTCGCTAACTTTTCTTGTTGACAAAACTTGCAGATATTACAATGATTGTTTTATGATTTAGATTTTTTTTTAAATTTTCCAGTTTAAAATTAGATTTTTGTTATTTTTCTTTCAATTTTTACGCATTGTAAGATAGTCTGGTGGAATTCCTAAGACTTTATACATTGAATCATGACTTGTGAATATACCACCTCTTCTTGAATCTACCTTCACTACACACTATACATATATTTTCTGGCCATTTCTATATATTACTTCCGCTTTGTAATTTACTACTTCAATTATGCAATGGACATCGGTTTTATTTCTTCATTTGCATATTTCATTTTTCACTTTCACGTTAATTTTGAAATTTCAGGCGTTTTGTCTTGTTATTGTAGTTTTTAAATTACTAGTACAGCTGAAGCTTAATTTAACTATTTTTTTACCTATTTTACATTTGACCTCTAAGTTAGAACAAGTTTTAATACAAATAATATTTTCTTTTCCTCGAATTGGTATTCGTTTTTGTTTTATCTGAGGTTAAAACTCCAGTTTGGTTTTATGCTCCACTTCTATCATAGTCCTTTTATATTTTTTCTTTTTATCTTCGAAAATTATTTTACTAGGGGAATTTATAGATTACATGGATTATATTCGCAGGCTTGTTGAATCTAATATTCACGTATTTTAATTTTGTGTTGGGTTTCATGTATGGGCCGACACTGGAAGTTTTAATTCGACATCGAAATATTTGACAATTGTCTTATTCATATCGACTTTTGTCGTAAATCAATTTTATTCCACAATAGAAAAGCGTGGATGAAAAACTAAGAAAAAGGACGACTACGATGTGCCATAAGGTTCATTTGATGGTGCTGAGGTTTCAGTCTTAATAGGCCTACATATAGTATATGAAATCAACAAAATTGTAAATATATACAAAGACGGCCGGTATTGGGATGACGGATTGATGAGAGTTCCAGACAACAGAAGAACAAATGACAATAAAAGAAAAGCGCTTTTGGAACTCTTTAAAAGCCTCGACTTTAAAAAGAATACGATATGAATAAGAAAAATGTCAAATATTTGCATATAGAATTAATTCAGACTTGAATAATCAACCTGGATGATTCTCGACGTTTTAAAATAAGATTGTAATAGCAATGCCAGATAGTGAATTGCAAATACACAGAACAATTGATGATACATAGGAAAGTTGTCAAAATTCTTTGTGCCAAACAATCTGTATTTTGGTGGACTATGGCCACTTACAAGATATATGGAATAAAGTAAAGAAAATGTAAAAACATTCTTATGCTTTGAGAAAAGAACACGTTACGTTTTTGATATGATCGTGATTTATTATGAAAACAAATTTATTACGAAAAGTGAAAAAACCTGGAGGTTCTTAACCATGAGAAATAAAATAGAATTTGCGAAGGATATGTTGTCTATTTTTGCTGTCGTATCCAGCGTCATTCTTTATAAAAAGTTGCTTCACCTGCACGAACAGATATTTTGCATGTACAGTGAAGATTTCAGTAAGACTGAAATTAATCTTGGTAAGGAATTCAAATTATGGTTTTTTAGAACGATATTTTCTTGTTTTACTCTTGACATGGTAACAATCATGGAACTTTAATACATTTGATTTTAGAATAATAATTGTTACAGTTCATGTAATATGAATGCATTAAATGAAACCAAGGCTCTTTCCTTTACAATGGAGTGCAGATTTGATCTGAAATGGTTCACACCTTTATAGAAAATGTATTGATGAATATAATAATATAAGAATTTATTCGGAAATTCAGGAAAATCTTCCATAATCTCATAAATAAAACAAAAAGGTACATTTAAAAAGAATATAAATATTAATTTTTGACAAAGATATAGTTTCGGTTGAATTGGAGGTTTATATATTATGCTGTGTTTAATGACGCAAATAATGGGCACATACGTTTCTTGATTTACACCCATGGATTTGTACTCTGTTTAAATTAAAGGAACAATTACATATGCCACCAATTTATTTGAATTAATGTCTTCTTTTTTAATTTTCTCTTCTTATTCGTCTTGTATATATCCCTTTAGGACGCTTTCGATTATAGATCTCCATGAGTGTTCTTAAGGTAGTTGACCCGTAGCCTTCCCTTAACTCTCTTTCCCTCAATATCCCCAATAGCCCTTGTGCTAGTGAAGTCGTTCAAGAACCGCTTCCTCATTCTGTCTAGTTTTCTGTTTCTGACTATACGTATTGTATTGTTTTATTACCATTTTTCTTACGCCTACGTGGTTCATAGAATTCTCAGTATCCTTATGCCGAGCCATATTTGTGTTGCCTCCAGTTTTTTTTTCTTTTAATATATAGCTAACTACGGAAGAAGGCTTTCGATTAACTTATTGTATTCTATCAACAAAATGAAATCTAAATTATAAATTAATTTTCTGTATAAAGAAAAGGTATTAGAATACATTATTTGTTTCAATTGTTGTTGTTTTCTGGGAATCAGCCAGATTTTCATGTACATTTATAATATTTTTCCCATTGTTATTTACAAAAGTAGGCATAGACATTGTAGTTATGCACTTTACATTTTTAAAATATTTTATTACATTTATATTTATTTGTTACAATCGTATTTGTTCAGAACTGTTTAAATAGATTTATTTAACACTTTACTTACATTTTTTGATCAGTTTACTCTCTTAAGTGTTCAAAATGTCCTCCTTCATCATTGCAACATTCTTCGAACCTCTCGAAAAAAATTGACACACAGCAAGACATAACTCTCGATTTGCATCAATTTCAATATCTACTTCTGAGATGTAACTCTTAATTTTTCCACTATGTGGGAATTTCGATCATAAATCTTGTTCTTTACTACGCCCCACTCTAAAAGTAATGAATTATTGTTAGGTCAGGTGAACGTGGTCCCATTCTATGCTGAACCTTCTTCAGAACAAAACCTGTGGAAAGGTTTCGTTAAGGTAGTCCCATACTACCAAAGCATAATGAGGAGATGATCCATCTTGCTGACATAAGAGTTCGGCGAAGTTAGCTCTGGTTCTAAAATCTAAAAATGTAAACTAATATTAAATCAACTGTAAGCCTACTTTTGGGCAATGCTGTAATGCATACGAAAATTGGTTGGTTAGCAAGCTGGTCTGGCTGTGTCAGTTACGACAGTGTCAAATTGAACATACCAAAATCAAATAAATACAACACATTAAATATCTAGGAAGTGTTTTAACAGACGACAGAAAATGCGACACTGAAATCAGAAGGTGAATTGGAATAGCGAAAAATGCCTTCCAAAAGTTAAGCAAGGTAATAAAAAGCTGAAAGAATTCGTTAGAAACAAACAAAATAGTACTGATGTGTTATGCAATATAAGTCCTATCATATAGCAGTGAATGCTGGACAATCTAATTAGAGATGAAGAAGCTTCAATCAACAGGAATGATGTTCTAGAAAAGGATGCAGAGAATACCATGAACTGAAAGCTTTTTCCAGAAAATGAAAACAAAAAGGTAACTATTTAGATTATTCGGACTATTGTCCTCATCCTTTTCGCCATGTTTATCACAACGTTTCGGCCGTTTTACGCTTCGGCCTTCTTCACATAGTGTTGAAACTTGACTAATGCATGGAATAATAATGCAACACAAAAGGTACTTAGAACAAAATGTATTGAAACAAGAAAGTGTACACAATATTTACATATAGTCTTTTGTATATTCCTGGTAAGACCGTTCCTGGAGAATGTGTTGACTGAGTCGCAGTCGGGCAGAGTCTCTGGTTGAATCTCTTGATTCCTCCCTCTCTTTCCGGTACCAACCATATTTATATGGTCGGTACTCCACTATGCAAATTAGGTGGATCCTACCACAACACATAGACACATGGCACGGTGGATAAAGGCGTTAGTTAGATCCAGTGACAGGACCCAAAGAGTGTAAGTTCTATATCTTGGTAAGACAGTGGAGAAATTTCAGAGGGGAATTAACAGGAGATAGCTGGCATCAGTTTAGACCTGGCACGTGGAACTAGAACAGTCTACACCAGTGAGCGAAATAATGTGTTCAGTTCGACATTCTAACTGAAAAAATATACACTATATACGTTATTCTGACTATTGTCCCCATCTTTGTTGGAATATTTATCACAATGTTTCTACCGTTGTACGCTCCGGCCTCCTTCATGTTGTTGGAATGTCGAACTGAACGCTTTATTTCGCTCACTGGGGTAGACTGTTCTACCCCAACAATCTGAAGAAGGCCGGAGCGTACAACGGCCGTAACGTTGTGATAAACATTGCGAAAAATATAAGGACAATAGTCCGAATAATGTAAATAGTGTACATAATACCTCATCTCAGAAATATAGACAGATTCAAAAAGGTAACATAATTAACACCAAGACGAGAACGTTGACATTTCTAGGCAACATAATGCGTAAGAAGCATTGGAAAATTGGATACAGAAGGGACAGATTTAAGGCAAGAGGGACAAAAGAAAACAAGAGATAATCTACTTAATGAGTTTGAGGATGTGGGTGGTAGAACAAATTTTATGAGAAATAACAAAAAGACAAAATGTATTAAGAGCTACAAACGACATGAAATTATGGGGAGCCATGCTCGGCAACGTCCTGAAGTGACTCGGCCCATACAAAAATGAGTTCGATAGCCTCTATGCTTTCTTTTGTGATATCAAGGAACACTCTTTGCCACTTTTGTGATGGCAGCGAATACTCGTTTTCACTTTCGTAATTCTCATTGTAGTAGGAATTTTGTAATCACAGATGACGTCGGTGAACAATGCTGGCGTCAGACGTATCGAATATCACGCGCACTAATAGTCATTGTTTGATAATACTGTATCGAAAAAATAACCACGGAATAGAGAAATAATATAGTGAATATTATAGAGAATAGGATGAATAGGATCCGTATCATAATAGAGGATAGAGTAGAAATAGCGATCATTTACACGTCCCGTTATTTCACATTGATGCGTTTCCTCTGTGGTCACGTGGTCTACTTAATTCAATAATTGTATCGCCTTTGTTGTCTCTCTGGCGATCTATGTTCAAACTCCAGTGTCAGCAGTGACACTTTATTCCTATATAACACTTTCATTACTTGCGACCCTCTGCGACAATTAAACTACGCTCAGTAAACCATTACAATATGCATTTCTCACCACCAAGATAACCGGGAATCTTTTCCTAAAGTAACAGATGATTTTATTACCCATAGATTTTATATCGCGCCTTATTGTCGAGAATTTAAAAAATAAAAATATATATTATAAATGAAACGTAAATCTGAAATCATATAGATTTCCTTCATTCTTATTTGTTTTGTGATCTAATGTCTGCCATTTATTTTTTAAAAAAATCCTAATTTGAGTCCGATATTGAACAGAGCAAGATTACTGTGGCACGATCTACTCGTGACGTACCTGCTAGACAAATTTACGAAATCTCTATAAAAATACCCTAATCCCGCTTTGAAAAATGATATATTTTCTACCATCGCTTAGAAAGACATCTATCAGGCATACGCAACGTTATCCCATTCATTTCCTGATAAATATAATTTATCCGAAAATATCTCTCTATGAGTATCGAATCAGAATACAAAATTAAAACGTGTCGAATTCCTTGACCTTTCTAGACAATGTTTCGTATCATGAGATAAATCCAGATCATTGAATGCATTACTTATGATAATGTGGCGACATTTACGTTTGTTTATTGTTGCAGGAGCTTACAGCCATACCACTGGCTCACGCACAATTACTAAATCTAAACAACATGGCGCCTGGTCAGTAACTTCACTGGTGACCGGATGGGAATACCAGGTGCTAGAAGCTTGGATGTTGCAGGTGATGAAATCGATAATGTCTCGAAACTGGAAATCAGAGACTCGAGTTCGAATTTCAATTGAGTTCCTCATATTCACTGACACAAAAAATACGATTGGGAAATGTAGGAACCCGCGTCTTCTTCTACAGCTATGTTGCAATTAATAGAACTTGTCCAGGTAAATCATTATTGTACCCGCAAAACTCATACGATCTAAAATATTTTATGGGTTTAAATAATCTGCGAAAAATGGAAAGTCGTATAAAACAAATCAGTTCATCTATCAATCAATTATTGATGCGAAAGTTCAATTAAAGATTCGACTCTCAAAACATACTGAACAAAAGGTCAGTTAGTCTTTATTGATTGTCTGATTTAATCTGATTCTTAAGTTGTATTCCTTGATAGAATGTAAATGACACTTGAATTCCAATGGAAGAATGAGCGCTCATAAGTATCAGGTGTAAGTTAATTATAATTAATTCAAACAATATTATAAACAATGCTAATTCTTAGTAAACCTTTCGTCAGATATGTAATAATCCAATCAGAAATGGTCGAAAATAAACCCTTTTTCATGAAGAATTGCATATGAATTAATTCTTTGTCAGATTTCTAAAATAATATTTCATATAAATGTTTACTACTGTGAGTTTTATGCTTGTTGTTGAACTCTACTAGTGCGGCAAATTCTATCATTTTCTATTGGATAAACAGATAATAAATGATGTGGTGACCTGAAAACTGAAAGGAAGCAGAAAATGATAACTGATTGACAAGCGAATGCTTAGATATGCAGCACAAATAACATAAAAATTCATCAAATTTAGAAAGAAAAAAAGCAAATATCTAAGCCTTATCATAATCTAGCTGACGTTGCCATTTTAAAATTGATAAAAAATACTTGATAGTATTTTTTAATCTGAATAAAATCAGATTTAAAAAAAGTTCCCGCAAATAATTTTTTAATCAGTTCACGCCAAGTAATGCATTATAGCCACTAACATGCACGCGCTTATTATGTGTAAAAAAATATGAGAAAATGAAAAAGAAGAGATAAGAATAAAACAAGAGCAATTAAGAAGATAACAGTTCATATTGCATTTAATTATCAGATCTTTATTTGCAAAATAAAGTGAAGTCCGAAAATCTTATGATCCCCTAGCAAAATTAATGGGAAAAATAGAAGGAAAAGTAATAAAATAATACAAAGCACTGAGTTCAGATTATTCAAATTCATTGACGATTTCACATGCCGAGAAGGTCTTTAGGAACAGCAGTATTTTCGTGTAAGAGATCGTGTCAGTCATTTGAAATAGAAAATTATAATATGTATGGGTGACAAGACTTTCGGACCACACTTTAGCAAATGTCTCATCGTTTCAATTTTGAAAGAATTAGATATACATAGAATCTCCATATATGACAGTTTTGAAAATTAATTACGGCGTCGCCGGAAAACATTGACAGGGACGTATTTTTTCAAGTCAGATCTTTAACTTTTAGATCAACACTTCTATATCTATCTATCTATCTATCTATCTATCTATCTATCTATCTATCTATCTATTTTCTGTTACTCTCTCTCTCTGTATATATATATATATATATATATATATATATTTACATATACATATATTAAAATGATTCGTTTTTATTTATGGCTCATCAGAAAATCATAAAATGATATATGGTCGAGAAAAGAATCTTTTGTGTTGTCTTCGCCCTGTCAAGCAGTGTCCGTGTGTGTACATGATGTATTGAAATACTAGTTAGTCTATGCAGGATTCGGTGAAGAATCTGTATGCGTGTATGTGTGCGAGCACTTGAGCTTCTTATTGGAATGTCTCACTATCTCTACTGGTTGCCTGTATAGTGATTCGGGATGTTGCGCGTGAAAATGAAATAATTTTACTTATAATGGCTGTGGTTGTAGTTAGATATATCTTGGATTCTTTAAATGTGGATTTTTATAAAAGTTGGTGTTATAATAAAATTTATTTAACATAAGTTTCTAGATGACAAAATATTTATCAGTACGCCGTGTAAGTATTGCCTAAGTAATAAATTATGTCGTTTTCTAATTTGAGTGGCATTTATAAAAACGAAGTCATCGCCTGTTTTGTTTCTGTGTGTTGCATAAAAACTAAACAGGGCAGAAATTCTGATTAAAAAATAGGACAAGATTTCGATTTTATATTAAAGTGCCCGATGGATTAATGAATAGTGGCTCGGATTGAGGAATCGAAGAGCCGAGTTCGAATTCCAGTCGAATTCATTACATTCACTTACGTGCTAATACCCTTGGGAAAGGTATGGATCCTCTTCTCCCCCAATAAGGAAATAGCAGAACAGACCGGGATCTATAGTCTTGGATGTAAACTGGTCTACCACAGAAAAAAATGACAACCAACGACGGGAAAAATATCTGCCTCCTCAGTGTATATCGAAAGATACATGATCGCCTAACCATGTATCAAGCATGGCACATAACTGATTGACTATTTTTTTTTAACTACGTAGGCATTCATTATAAGTATGATAATTTAGATGGCAGAAGGTTTTAGGTGTGTTTCTTTGTATAGTGAAAAGTTTAAAGTCTTGTTATTGATAAGAACGCCAACGCATAGAAATACGTTTTTGTCGCCAAATTCGTAAGATTTCCTGCAGTTTATTTCAGATGTAATTTTGAATTTTATTTCAATTTGTTATTGTTAATTAAAACGTTAATAACATCTGCATATCTGACATTAATATTGGTATTTCTTGTTTTTTTTTAAAACTCGTTTTTCAAAATATAAAAATTGATAAAGTTGAAGCCAAATAGGATTTACTCCTACTAATTACGTTTGTGTGGAGCAATGGCGTTAAAGTTGTTGGCCTAAAAGGGACTTTGAATGTGCATGAATATTTAAATAATATATTATGTTCGATATATGCTGGTGGAATTGATGGATGTTTGTTGATGCAGTCGAAGTTAATATCGATGGTTTAATCTACTCGAAGAAGACGTTATCTACATCGACTGATGCTAAAATACCTTCATTTGATGCATTTTTTTCGTGATGCAGTCAGCGTAGGTGACACCACTTCTTTGGACTTTCCCATCATTTTTTGTCGTATGATGGTCCAGCGGCTGAGTTCTTAAAACCGAACATCCAGATTCTACACGCATATGCTATTATTATAGTGATGGACGCTTGTATACAACAGGCCAATTTTTTTTGGAAATACTGAATACAGGGAACGACCTTCCTCGAGTTTGGAATTCAGTGATTCCTTCACATATATCAGTTGCCATCAAAGGCTATAGGACACAGGGTGTACTAATTTGTATCAATATAGTTAGAGGAGAAAAGGCTTTTTTTATATAATTACCATGGAAATTAACAGATAAATGAATGTAATGAACTCAATTGGAATTCGAACACGGATCTCTGAGCTTCTATCTATCTATCTATCTATCTATCTATCTATCTATCTATCTATCTATCTATTAGAATTTCTTTAATTATAATACAAACACAGTTGCATATATATATATATATATATATGTGTGTGTGTGTGTGTGTGTGTGTGTGTGTGTGTGTGTGTGTGTGTGTGTGTGTGTTTGTCTAGTCGGTAACTCAGCAAATGCAAATCAACGTGCGCCTGAGCCAAACATCCAAACAAAAAGGGCTAATGAGTTGATCACAGCAGTTTAATTCTCTTGCTGAACAAAAGGCAAAATCTCAATCAAATTATGAAAAGGTTTATAGTGGGGAAGGAATCAAATGCTAAATTAATAGCAGGTCAAATTTATAACATCAGAATTGTCTTACACTAATATTAGGTTCAGGCCTTCAACAAATATACATCCATGTTCGCATACACACACACACACACACACACACACACACAAACACACACAGACATTAACTGCATTAGAAAAGGTCTATCTAATCATTTCTTATAGTTTCCCAATTTCCCAATGAGATCATGGATATCGGAATTAAGACTATGCATAAGCCACCAAAGCTCATGTTTATGTTCTCGTTTTGTACAAGTAATTTTGAATAATTCAGTCTTTATCATGAACCCAGTCTTACTCCATCGTGCAGACTATGGTCGACAATATTCTCTGACAAAATACTGATATTTTTAGATCACTGACGTCACAACAATTAAACGGAAACGAATGTATCGAATATTTCTATGCGTTATTTTTCTGATTTATGGAGAATTCATGCATAATAGATATATCAGATTTATATTAAATATCTTATACACGCATAAGTATACCATTTCCGATGGTGAAATATATATTATATTTCATGTGAGTTTTTTTTTAATCAAAATATAATCTATTATTTCCGTCTTTGCTGTGTAATATTTGTTTATTATTTACTAAAATGTGTCTTAGTCGTTATGTTTTGTTGCTTGTGATCTTCAATATGGGATTCAATTGCACTAAATTTCTACAAGTCAACGTGCGTGAAAGGGTTTTGAAAATGTAGTTTAATGTTAGAATTTAATTTTATCTTTTGATTCTTACTATTTATATATTTTGGATTTATAAGACCCTGTTGTGTTAACAATTGAGTTTTTTTTTATAATCATACTTATTATAAAACCCAGGTTGTGTGTGTGTGTGTGTGTGTGTCTGTACGTTTATATATTGGGTCGGATTTCCTACATTTTTCAACCGATTTCAACAAAACTTCACAGGACTACGTAAAATTACCTTGCGGTGGTTCTGACAGCGCCCAAAATTGGAAAAACACAATTGTTTTTGCACGAAATCCATTTGAAAACACGATTAAGAGGCATCGCGAGAATGAAAGGGGGACAGCTCATATTGAGTTATATTTATTATAAAACCCAGGATGTTTGTGCGTGTGTTCATTTATATATGAGCTCGGATTTCCTACATTTTTCAACAGATTTCAACAAAACTTCACTTTTTGGGGGCAGGTAGTGTTTCTTGCACACTTTTTTCTTTATTTTTACATTCAGAATGCTTTAAAAATTCCATTTACAAGACAATTGTTTATAATAAAATTCTATTCAATCGGTAGACTCATAACGATTGAAAACAATGTTTTTGCTTGAGTTTGGGTTTGACCAATTCGTAAAAAAAACAAAACAAAAAAAAAACAAAAAAAAAAAAAATAACTAAGGCAATGCCTGTCCGTCAACCTTAAACAATAATCTTTGTCAATTTTATTTTTCAGTTTTTATGATAGTCGATAATTGATCTATCTCTTACTGTTACATACCCGAGCAATGCCGGGCTCTACTGCTAGTAAATGATAAATCTAAGGTATTTGTATCGATAGTTAACAGTTATATAAAGGCGAATTGGATTGTTAATGTCTTTTTTATCTTGTTTTTAATTTGCCCTTAATGATATAAAGGTTTTAGATAATAACGCATGTAAGTATTTTTGCCTGCGTGTGTGGATGTGCGTGTGCTCGTGTGTGTGTGTGTGTGTGTGAGTGAGAGAGGGAGTGGGGGAGAGAAAAGAGTGCAACGCATGAAATGGAGGGAAGAACATGTCACCAGCCGGAAAAAATAGATAATATTTACGGTGAGCCATAATGCTTATGTTCAAAAATCTTTCACAAAACAAATGATCTGTTTTGAATCACCGTTAAATTTTTTGTCGTGAGCGCGTTTTGCATTCTCAAATGTATTGAACAAATAGTAATTAAGTTTCCGAGTGGCCAATAACGTTTAGTGCCCTTGTTCTCTGTGAAAACTTTCCAGTAAACCATGTGTTGAAAATCGCCTAAATCCTATTCTGTTGATCTGTCTTAAATCAACGCTGTCCGCCGTAGTTCTTGAGCCTCCTTATCCAAAATGCAAAACATGATTGCCACCAGCGATTTAACGATGCAATTATCGATAGAGTGATAGATCGAAACACACACACACAAATACATAAACAAGAAATAGATGCTATTACTTAATCGATAGTTAAGAAAATATTACGATTCATTGATTAGATTCAAGAAATCGATATACAAATTGAGACACAAATATTTAAGCCATGTTGATGTTTCATAAGTACACAATCTTACAAGTAGCTATTTCTGGAATGCAAAGATTACTCGACGTACGCTGGGCGCTTAATACAAGTGACCGTGTACCAGAGCTTAATAATATCTTCGTTGGCAAATGCATCATAGATATCCTTTCAGAAAAGGGAAGTTAGATGAACATGAACAATGGTGAAGGAATTCTTACTTTTAGATCCGGTTGTGTGTAAGGTAACAAGAATGCTTTCACGCAGATTATTTTCGGATCTGGCAAATGATTTTCTCAAAGCTGGTAAAAAAAAATGAATTGAAAAAACAACAATGTTGATTTACGCAAGAGGAACGGATTTCTTTAAAAGTACTTTCAGTTTTGTAGCATTCATAGGTGTTAAATATTTATAGGATTCGTAAATATTATATTTTTTAGGATTTCTAAAGTCAAAAGTTTCGTAAGTTTCGAAAATTTTAATAATTTTGCCACATTCGTAAATGTACAATTTTAATGTTTTAGCCAGATTCGTAAATGCAAAAATCTTTGGAAGTTTCGTAAATGTTAATGTTTTAGCCAGATTTGTAAATGCAAAAATATTTGGAAGTTTCGTAAATATTAATGTTTTAGCCAGATTCGTAAATGCAAAAATCTTTGGAAGTTTCGTAAATATTAATGTTTTAGCCAGATTCGTAAATGCAAAAATCTTTGGAAGTTTCGTAAATATTAATGTTTTAGCCGGAATCGTAAATGCAAAAATCTTTGGAAGTTTCGTAAATTTTAATGTTTTAGCCAGATTCGTAAATGCAAAATCTTTGGAAGTTTCGTAAATATTAATGTTTTTGCCAGATTCGTAGATGTAAAATTTGTGTATGCTTCGTAAAGGTTAATGATCTACCAGATTCGTAAATGCAAAATTTTTGTAGGATTCCTAAATGAAAAATCTGCTCTAATTTAAATGACGACAAAAATGTTCAGCAATGCCCCTTAGAGCAGCACTTTTGTAGGTTTTAGATATATGTTTGAGTATCACTTAGATTTGCTTCAGAGAAAGTGACGTGATTGAAGTGAGCCGATGTCAAAAAATGAAAGACGATGAAACAGTTGAAGAAATGATTTTAGTTCATTCATGTCCTTTCAACAGGTTGAGACTCCGTTTTGGAAGTGGGGCAGATGGTGTCATATAGTTTATGTCTTAGAGCGTTTTACCGGTGTAGACATTCCATCAGGCAAAAAAAAACAAACTATTTTACAGAGCTTGAACACCTCTCTACTGTTGATTAGAAAATATGTTATCATTAACAGCACGTTGCTCATACTGGTCACATTCCAAAATATTTAGTCAAGACTGTCCAGAGATATATCGGTAAAAATATAGCCCCTAAAATGTGTGAATTGAAGGGCATTGTGTAAAGGACACTCACCTTGTCTAATGAGCATCGCCATATGTTGCTACGTGAATCTACAGTTATTTAAAGTGCATGAGGCAAGCGCTAACCATTTCCTAAAGTAGCATTCTACCTATAATGGCCCCAGTAATTGTAAAGGATAAACATTACTGTAAAAATATATATATATATATATATATATATATATATATATATATATATATATATATATATAAATGAAAACACGTGTAACAATAGTTTTATATATATATATATATAAAGTCATTTTTATGTTTATACATTCTTTTTTTATAGATACAAATATGTAAGTAAATGCTCTGTTTATAATAAACAGTATTAACGACATTTTGCGGCCTGAGTGTCTGAGAAATTTCCATAGAATTGAAGCTGTATCCTATACGGAACAGTCATATACTCGGAGGATGCATATTTTTTATGAGACTTTCTCGGCCGGTAAATGTCGTTAACTGTTTATTATAAACAGAGCATGTATATAAGATTTTTCATATTTTTATATCACACTCATTTTTTGCAAAATATTTTTTATATTTTATTTCTGTGCACGACCAAAATTATGTGGCATTTTGTCTGTTATTACACTAAAAATTGCATTTTCGCAACTTGCATAATATAAAGTTCCTGTGTATTCATTCGCTTACTGGACACTCTTTTTAAAACAGTATATCATATTAGAGTAAATGTTTCTCGCTTTCTTTGAATATATTTTCGAATAGTTTTTTCTCTCTACTAAATCTGTCAGTAAAACAGTGGTAAAGTCCACTTCCTGTAAATGTTATATAAACCCGGTTAGTAAATGGTGTCGTTTTCCTCTTTCTTCTCTTGCCCACAAGAGATTTTCTCACAAAGCACATTGCTGATTATTCCTACTATTCTTGTTACTTATATTATTTACATTATAGAGGCTGTTATCCTCAACCTCATTGTCATATTCATAACGCTTCACCTGTAGTACCTTCCGGCCTTCTTCAGATGATTGGAATTTCAAACCTAAACCTTTATTTCGTCCACCGGGGTAGAGTTTTCTAGTTCCTCGTGCCATGCTTCTTCTGCATGTCGCAGTT